TACGAGGGTGTTGCTACAGATTTGATGCAAATCTATCTCACTCTATATTCTAGCGACAATAGTCCCTGCTGACTGCAATGTATCTTTGAAAATATGCAAAAAGCTGTCAAAATACAAGGACCTTGAAATAGAAATCTCGAAAATGTGGCATATGGGAATATCAACAATCCCTGTTGTAGTTGGAGCCCTAGGAATGGTTGGAAAAGATTGCAGTAGACTAATTGAAGGGATTCCTGGAAGTCCCTGCCTCAAGGAGATACAAAAAATTGTTCTGACAAATACAGCCCACACTTTACGAAGGGCTTTACTATGTAAGTTTTTTTTTATTTTTTTATTTTTTTGTCAGTGGAAAGTGTCATGATGCCATTTCTAACGTTAGGTCCCTGGGCGGGACCCGGAAAGAAAAGTGTAAACGCCAGAAATCTAAGAAAATAAAAATAATATATAATAATGTGTGTGCGTCTACGGAGTGGAATGCGCAAAATAGAATATCAACCATAAGCACCTTAGCCATCGTTTTGGTGCAATACAGTTTCAATACCCTTAACCAGACCATAGCTGACATTAATCAAACTATTGTAAAAATGATATGGCTTCTCCGCATACATCATAATAGGGCCAATTTTCGAAATATATGTGTATCCACATATGAAGGGGGCAGAGGATTAGTTCAAGTAAAACTCTATTAGAAAAAAGTGACTTTCAAAGATATCTAAAGACTAAAGAAGACTGGGTGTCAAAGATAATAAAAATAATAAACGTTATTACGGAATAATGGAAGCCAACAAACTCAAGAATGGAATTTTAAGTGGACAAAGTAGAGCAAATATGCCATATCCTACCTACTGCTGCGGCAAATAATCTAAAAAAATAAAGCAATTGCAATGGACCGAATGCAGAAACGATGACACGCTACATATATCTACCCATACCAATCACGCAGATAAAGATATACTCCGTACATGTATGTAGTCGCGTAAAGCTGAAAGTTAAAGTATTATTCTGGCTGCACAAGACCAATGAGTGTTATCTATAAATACTCAGGGAAACATTGAAATATTATGTTGATCCTAATATGAACTCTGTTATGAATATCTCGAAGGAATTAACCGTCTTGCATCAAAAAACGTCTTTAGAGGGTATGCGAATAACTGTACTGTAACATCGGAAAGTTTTATTGAAAATAAACGAACAGGGTTTGAAAGAAATACCTTCGCGAAATATTTCCCCAAAATGATAAATAATTAGTGAAAATTGTATATACAACAAGCTAATGTTAAGCCATTATAAGGGAGATTTATCTGGGAGGTATTTCTGTTGAACACTGTATGAGAAATTGGTACGAGCACCACCCTTATCCCGTTACATAGAACCTGCAACAATTTTTTTTGTGACTTTACAATACACATACATGATCAATCAAATCTAATTGCCGAGACATAGTGAACAAAGACTTCTAAAATAGAATGTGCTTTTTTATTGACACGGAAGTTCCTGAAGATTATAACCTAGTTTTGTAGATCTATTATAATACAAGGATCTTAAAGTGGAAATATAAATAATATAGAATATGAAGACATGAATAATTCCAGTCATGTTTGAAGGCCTTCGTTTGCCTGAAAAAGCAATAGATAGACTCATTGAAGAGGGCCATGACTGTGCTTAGAGTAATATGAAAAAATGTTCTCGCAAGCACACCGCACAACGTTAGAATGTCTTTCGTTATCAAAATTGTGTATGAGTTTATGAAATTAAAAAGTGAAAAAGAAACACCCTTATGCAGTGGGAAATGTGATGATATTTCTAATATGTATCTACTTGCGAACCGGGTGGAAAACCATATGCAACAAAAACAGATCATGGTGATAATTCATTCATTTATAAACCAATATATTGTGATATAAGTTTTAGGTCTTTTTTTTTTATTTCACTTGACTGACATCACCTTCAACTCCGATACTATTGAACGTTAAATGATATATAGATAGATATATGTGTGTCTATATAGAAATGTGTGTGCATATATATAGATATATGTGTGTGTGCATATATATAGATATATGTGTGTGTTTACATATAGATATATGTGTGTGTGCATATATATATAGATATATGTGTGTGTGCATATAGATATATGTGTGTGCATATATATATATATATATATATATATATATATACACAGGTGTGTGTGTGTGTATATACACAGAAATATACATCTCGATATCATCTGTTCTAAGGACCAGTGTAAATTCAACTGAGTTATTCAGATAGAAATAGAACAGGTAAAATCATTTTGTGTTAGCCGCAATGTGTCTTCCAAACTGAATAATAGTGACACAAAAAGATCCTTTAGACCTTCATAATCGTAGCAGCTTTCATAGTTTGGCTTCCATCTTTAATATCCATTCAGGACGCATCAATTGAACGGTGAATATGTTTAAAAGATAGGGCACAGCAGAGAGGAAAACTTGATCAGGATGTTAAATCAGCAAGAAGGATCATCATTTCCCGTTAAAGCTAAATACATTCTAACTGTTCATATAGAGCCCAATAATGTTATAAAAAAACTCGAAAAATTCTAATAAGATATTTTTAATAATTTCTTAGATTCAAACATTCTAATCTTAATTCAACGACTGGACAATTTGTTTTATCAACCATATATACACACACACACACACACACACACACATATATATATATATCTATATATATATATATATATATATATATATATATATATATATATATATATATATATATATATATATATATATATATATATAATATATATATATATATATATATATATATATATATATATATATATATATATATATATATATATATATATATATATATATATATATATATATATATATATATATATATATATATATATATATATATATATATTAGTATATAATTGGTATATTCCAATGAATTCCAATAACCAAAAATTGCTATTCTTAAAAGAGTGCTCAATACAAAGTAGAGCAGATATAATTATTTTTTATAAAAAAATATATATATATATATAACATAAATATGTTATAAAATCACTACAAAAATAGCCATTTTGTTTTTTAAACACCTCATGTCTTATCAAGTGATGTTGAATATAAAATAAATGATTTTCCATATATATATATATATATATATAAACTCGTTTCGGAAAACCCTCGAATTTTTGATTTGCTAATCAAATCAATCTCGAGGGAAAAAAAGGTTTTAAAAAAAGAAACAGCTACAAACATGAACTTCTGCCGACAAAAAAAAAAAATCGCACAGATGCAGGTCTGAAGCCTGAAGCTAAACTTTCCCTGACGATCCGTTTAGGTGAAACCTAGGTAGGTTTGTCTGGCTCACTAGGTGTATCTATCTATATATATATATATATATAGATATACACACGCACCATTTATTTTATATTCAACATCATCACTTGATAAGACACAGAGGTTGTTGAAACAAAATGGTTATTTCTGTAGTAATTTTATAACATATTTATGTTATATATATCTTTTTTATAAAATATATATATATATATATATATATATATATATATATATATATAATATGTGTTTCCAGATGTTACCAAGGTTGTGGGTTTTGTTTGTAGGTAAAAATGCGTGTTCAATACAAAATCAGAAAGATAGAAGAAGCATAAAAATCTTGTTTTTTTTCCGGATGTTTAATTCATATTTATTGTTTCTATTGAAACAAAGTTAAATGTTTATTGAGTAGGTCCGTTTTCTTTTTCGGTTTGGAGATAATTCATGGGAATTAACGATAAGAACTTGGTAAGACGATCGAGCTCATGTCAGCCTTACGTTGAGTTGGAATGATTAAAACTCTACTTCATGATTAGGGCTGCTGAAATACGTCCGAAGAGAAAGATTATGTCCTCTCCGTCGGTGCTCTCATAATATCGCATGTGACCTGTAATCATTCCCGGTTTCTTTATGATTTGCATCACGGGATTTTTTTTTTTCATTCTTTATTATAATTTATTTAATGGTTCTATTTCATATTCCATTTATACAGGGTGTCCATAAATTTTAGTTACAATTTAAAAATATTTTCCAAAGGCAATTGATAAATATCAGTTTTATTCTATGTACTCAATATTTATTAAAGTTTTTTATATATATATCAGATTTCATTGTGTATTTCAGTTATCCTGTTGATTAAAGGGGTAGTGTTAAATGAACCTCTAACATTTCAGTTCAGTGGGTTGAAGGGATGGCCCAATTCTCTGGCCACCTCGTGTAAAATATATCACTCCATAGGATTTGTTTCTATGGTTATTTTATAGATATCGTGTATCGAGCAAAGATACGGGACATCACTGTCCTAAAGCAAAAGATCACTGATGCCATTGCCACCATTGATGGAAACATGCTACAGCGAACATGGCAAGAATTTAAGTACCGTCGTGATGTGCTTCGGGCAACTAATGGTAAATATATAGAGATGTGAATTAATTTTAAAAGCCTTCCAGATCTACCCCTCATACAATTATTTCCAGATATTTGTCTTTTCATTTGCTTATGTAAGAATTTTTTATTGCAAAGTCACTTTATAGACATAATGTTTGTGCGTGTATCTCTCTATCTATCTATCTGTCTATCTCTCTCTCTCTCTCTCTCTCTCTCTATATATATATATATATATATATATATATATATATATATATATATATATATATACGTCCTTTTATAGAGCTAACGTAATCCGTTGTATGGATATGAGTTTGTGACCTGGATTTCATGCTTTAGGAATGATCAGGAAAACTCTCTGATGATCGCAAAAGCATGAAACCCAGGCTCATAAACTCATATCCATACAGCAGAATATCATTTATCTATAATCTATTTATTTTAAGTGAGAAAGCAAGCTTCTAAAGAAGGAAATCTGTATATTGTACATCAGTAGTCATAAGCATTTTTGCACGATTTCTTTCTCGTATTTTGAAATAATATTTAAACTAAACCTTCATGTTCTTTTCTCTCATTTCTGAAACATTTACTCCTTTCAGTAGATATTTTTTTTCCTTTTAACTGTCACTTCCGTCTCCGCGCGTAGGTTTTATTATATTTTTCAAGCAAGTGCACACTAATTATCGAGTAATGTTCAGTCTTTACGTCTCTTTGAAAAGTCCCCGTTTCACATATAAAACTGTCACGTTGACTGCTACTTCGGATTATATTTGGTTTTAAATCCGTAATAAAAAATAAAATAGTTGACAATAAAATTCTATAAGTAAACAGTGGAATTTTAATGGGTGATAAAGTATACAAGGCAAAAAATATAATAATGGGAGAATAGTAAAAGTACAATAACTAAATCAAGTTCGACAATTCAATGTTAGGCGGATTTGTACTGTCGTTGAATTTTAGATTTTCTTTCTCGCTACAACATATCAAGAATGACGAGAATTTTATTTTCAAATAAATAGTGACATTAAAGATTAAAATACGGAAATGAAAATAGCTGTTAACCAAATTTATAATAAAGATATTTTGCTGATAACAGAAAAAAGTCTAAAGATTCATATTTACTCAACATAGAAATACTTATAAACATATGTCTCTCTGACTCGTATACGAGAGTGGGCTATGAAAAGTTTTCAGATTGGCTATGAAATAATATTTTCAAAATCTGATGTTTCGTCATTTGGTCAGATTTGGGAAGAGGGTGGCGCTTATAAATTTGCAGTAGATTTATTAAACAGTACTTAAGTAGCAAACCTTCATTCATAAGAGATTATCTAAAGCAAATATTCCAAAGATATATATTTATTTTTATATATGTGTTTATTTTCTTACGAATGAACGTCGTAATTACAGCATGATTTTTTTTAAAAAAATGATCTTGCGCCGAAGGCTATTCGTTGAACGATCAAGATTGTAATTTATTATACCAAAATTGAATGATAAGAGTTATAATATATTTTCATATGTTAGCATTACAATGTGTTTTCTGTATGAGCCTCTTCTAACTGCCTTGTCCTTTCTAAACGTTGGGGATCTTATCTCTCTACAATATTCTGTCCTCCGTATGTCGTAATACCATTTGATTTTAATTATATCTCCTAAACTCTGTTCAACATTAATTCAAGCACGCTAGTTAGGTTATGTGTTTTATTCCTATGTCACTCTTTCCTTCAAACAGCTCTGTGAATATGCCATTTTACAAACCCTCTTTCCTCATTCCGTGACATGGAAAGTACAAATACGTCTTTCTGAAAATTTTCTTGACGGTCTCAGTATCGAAGGATAAATTTTCGCCATTTTATATTTTTAAATTTTGTGAATGTGCGTTGTGTTATTTTAATTTTGGTTATAAAAAATAATTATTTTGAATCAGAAATGTGTATCATTTCAAAGGACAGTAAATTTTATATTTTCATGGGAATTAGATGCATAATTACAGATATATATATATATATATATATATATATATATATATATATATGGTAGGACAAGGAACGAATAGGGAACGTTTATAAATTCTATCTGTATTGTTTTTTTTATTTTAGCTTCATTAGTCTATTTCAGAAATTAATCATGGAATAATTATTACTTCAGCCTTTATTATAGGAGATACACGTTGTTGAGGTTGTCTCGATTAAGTTGACCGTACAATGTGTTAATGCCTCCTCTAAAACTTTTCATTTAGTATCGTTTAGGAAAATGAAGACAAAGGAATTAATAACTTGTAATGGAGAGGCCCTTTCTACAGGACGTCTTCACCAAAACTGCTGAGGGAAATTCTCTTTAAGTCAGTCAGTTACCACCAGGTCTAAATTACCAGGAGCTTTATCCTGTAGCAACCCCTTCAGGGAGGCCTTTAACTAATCTTTAAATTTCTGGAATAAACTGGTATCACAACACGATTAGATTGGTCACACCAGTTCCGTTATCATAAAAGAAAAACGAACCCAACACATCAGGTTCCCACATCATAATCTGTTGCCTTCCTTGATTTTTGGAATGGTCCATCCAACGTGGATTTTTTTCTGACCAGTTGCGGATATTCCGTCGGTTAATCTCATGTCGTCGATGAATAACACAATGTCTTCTGTGAAGCTATCATTATCATACAAATTCATGTGTCCAGGTATTATGGTTAATATATATATATATATATATATATATATATATATATATATATATATATATATATATATATATATATATATATTAAAGAAAGAGAGGTGCCGCAAACGTTTTTGTTGTAATGTGTTTTTTAGAAAAAAATATCATGCTTTATTTTCCACAATTTTGATACACGTGTTTCTGGTTTCGTGACCGTCTTCAGGTAAAAGCGGAGATTTCCACATATTAAAAATAATTAATTTTTTTCCTTATGTTTTTCAATGTTGAATATTCTCGATATGACGCATTCTCCTTTTTTGTATTAGTAATCCGAATGTCTTTCTTGAATTGGCAATGAAAGGTCATAAAACACTTAAGGTTGGTCCAAGAGAAATGATGAATTGCTTATCGGCATTTTATCTTTTAATGTTTTACTGGCCCCTGTGTGTTCTTAGATCTGTTTCCATTTTCGTGTGTTTCTGTCAGCATGCGTGTATATATGCGTGCGTATATTTCCCCTCCATAAATATGAGGAATTAGTAAACTCGTTTGTACATATACATACACATACGCACATACACACCGTCCGACCACAAGGAATCAGTACATACACACACAAATATACTTCTCAAGCTACATGGAACCAGTATACACATACATACATACATATATATATATATATATATATATATATATATATATATATATATATCGCGTGAAACAGCAAAAATGTTGAAATTGGGTTAAACAAAATTGTATATTTGTTAGATTAAGTTTTGAAAGTTTTAACATAGAAATTATTAAAGGTACCTTACTGGAATTCTCCGAAGTTTTATAACACTATTTTACTCTAATTTGAGCAAAGAGAATGTATAATTACTTTCCACGCTTTACAGAAGCATCGTGATGCAATCGATCATAAAAAACATAAATGACATTTTCATTATTAATTAATCATAACTAAAAATAGGAAGCTCATGATGGTTTGAAATAACGTTCAAATATATATATATATATATATATATATATATAGTTCCAAGAACCTTTTCCAACTTAATCAAGATGATCTTCGCCCTTTCTAATATAACTTTCTGTCCTGAATTAACAAGTTGTCTCTCAGTTTCACTTAAGATTTCATTTCAAAGTCATTTTTCACTGCTCTTTCAACTGTCCTAGCTGAAACGGGCCAAATGTCTTATAGAATGAGTTGCACTTTTTCTAATTGATCTCTTTAGCTCTCAGTTGAAATGATGATCCTTCTTCTTATTGTGGCCTCCTGATCCAGGTTTCATCTCTAATTTTCTTTTTTTTTTAATCTTATTTACCCTTCACTTGATGGTTCTTAAAGGAACTTCCAATATGGAAGCTATTACTGAAGGCCTGGCCTCTCCTTTTCATCTGCCGATTGCACAGTTGGGAAGACATAGTAGGGCTGGCACAAAACGATTTTAAACTTTTCTTTTTCTAGCTGAATAACTCAAATAACTTATCTGAAAACCCAGCGAAAATAAACTCATCTTTAGATAGTAAATATTTTGTGGGATGCTCAGTTATGCTGTTAGTCGAATTGGACAATTTTGCATATATATATATATATATATATATATATATATATATATATATTACTTAGTTATAAATCATCTCAGGAGAAATGTAGAATCCTAATTCTGTTAGAATATCCCCAAAATTCAATCCATCAAAAAGCAATAAAAAATAATAATAAATACGTATATAATTCTGAAATGTGAAAAAATATTTTTTACATTTATCAAGCAATTCCAAATCTATTCTAGACTGGACTCGACACCCAAAACTCTCTCCAAAAAGATGGAGCCTTTACATGGCCAAAAATTATAATAAATAAATAGAAAAAAATCAATCTAAACAGAGAAAAAGAAAAATGACTGAAAAATTCTTGGCTGTCTTCTCGGTTTGCAGTCAGCGAAGCCATTAATTATTTCCCGCTGATGTGATTTGATATTGGCTTTATTTTCCACTAAACCTGATGCCAGCGTCTTGTCTTCGTATTTGCAGTGCCTCCAAAGATCATTGATCATTTGTCGAGTAGCGACATCAACGTCAAAGAAGGAGAAACGGTCAGTCTGGTATGCAATGTGACGGGGATACCGCAGCCGACAGTCACTTGGTATCGACAAAGAAGACATGACAGTGGTGTTAGAGAACGTAAGTATGAAATTAAAATAACATCATAAAAGCCCGTCTTCGTTTTGCTGTGAAGACTGATTTATTTTTCATCGATTATTTATTTATTTATCGATAAATTCTCTCATTTTTTTTGTAATTGTTTGATCAATTTTTAGCCAGCGTTTGTAGGGACGCTTGTTTAATTTGTAATTGATTGCTTTTCGATTTTTAGATTTGTTTGTAGCTTAATTATATTGGATTGCTTTTTGTATGAGCTTTAAAAATTTTAATAGTTGTTTTTTAATGATTTTATTCGTTGCTTTGAATAATTTGTTTTATTAAATTGTTTCGCTTATTAATCTAATTACTAAGGCAGAGAATGAAATACTTTTTGTAATAGCATTCAACATTTTAGTCTCGGACTAAAGGTGAAATCATTACTTGTAATTATAAAATTATAGATTGTTTGTTATTAAGGCATAAAATTAGCGATATTTAATCTCTATGTTGCTTTCAAGAAATGATAAGATATCTTCCTTCATATACGAAGAATAATATCATCGCTATTTCATGCACTCCGATATCGCTGAATAAATACCCAGCAGGAGGAAATATGTAGAGATAAATCAGGGATGTGAAGAAAGGTTCAGGCGTAGCTAACATGACAAAGATGTTTAAATTCACCTTGGAATGACAATAAAGGAAATATTACCAAACAGACTAATTTTGCCCGAAACAAATACATGTTGAAATGCTACGTAATTTCAATCCTCCTATATGGTAATGGACGCTTGACAGCTTTCTCTCCGATGAAGAGGAGATTAGTGGCTATGAAGTTGTGTTTCTAAAGAAGGAGGCTGGCAATATCATTGGCGGAATTTGTGAGCAGAAAGCAGGTTTTAAGAAAAATAGAAACAAAAATGATTCTTGTATTTAGAATCAGCAAGAGTGAGATTAAATATCTTGGATATATAAGTAAAATAAGTTTTGCGAAATTGACAATCGGCAGAAGCTATTAAAGGCAAACTCGCCAGAGAACATTGATTAACCTACCTAACGTGCTTGTGTAAAGGATGAAATAACAGATATTTGAAAAGATAAAAGAAAAATATTGCTTAGAGCTACAAGTGATGGGATGTTGAGATCAACGTTCGTCCACATTCTAAACTTCCAAAGAACATATGAAGAAGAATTGTAAATGAATTGCATGAAGGTTAAGATCGATTGAACTTCCTCTTTGACCATATTGAAAATATTGGATTTAGCTTGGTTTGCATCAAGCATTGATGAATTCGAATAGAGAGTTGACGAGTTAACTGCTTCCGAAATGTCGCATGATTAGATAAGTTCGCCTATTATCCGGTTCAAACTCCTTCTCGTTTCCTTTTTAAGAGAAGTAGATGTTTGTCCCTTGTTTACTATTGGGTTCCGGTTCCTTCTAAAGTCTACTTCAACTCTATTCATTGAACGGCTCTGCTTGAACAATGACATTTTATGCACTATTTATTTTTCTCCTCAACAGGAGTAGACATTTTCGCATGTCATCCGGTTCACACTCCTCCACTGTCTTTTGAGTAGAAGTAGAGGTTTATTACTTGTTTCCTGTTTAGGGTTGTGTGTCTGGTTCCGTTTAATATCTTTTAATTCTCCTTTATTCCCAGTAGCCATTTGTTTCTAAATTGGCTTAAAAATGTACTTCAAGTAGATTATGTTATTGTACTTGATTAAACAAAAGAAAAATGGTAACGTAATAACCAAACGAAGGGAAAATGAAATCTTATGACGCCAAATGTTATTTAAAATGATGAGTCAAATCCAAATCACGTGTGACTTAATAAATGATCCTCAATATTAAAAATATTTGATGTATTAACGGTTGTTTTCTTCGCGCCAGAAAATTTCTAGCTCTTTTGAAAAAAAGAAATATATTTTAAAATATTTAAAATATATAATTTTTTTGTTAGTTATATGTTTGTTTTAATTAAGTACAAACGAGTAACAGCACGGAATTCTGTTAGTTGTCCCAACAGGATGGAGCCGCTGACCATTAAATGGTGGCGTTAACAGACTGGCTGAATGAAAATTTTCCAAACTATATTGTGAGACATGACCGAGTTGGATGGACACCAGATTCGGCAGATATTAATCACTTTGACTTCTTCTGTACTATACAGAAAGATAATTTGCACGAATGTATCTAGCCTTTATGGTAAAGAAAAGTTAAGCATCTATTTAACTGAAAATACACCTGAAATTATTACTATTATTATAATGTTTATTTAATCCTCGCCACCTTAATGTAGATTCAATTGAAGAGTAGATTTCTATGGGATGATCCAATTCAGTTTAGAACACCGAGACTGTATTTCGCTTTGCATACTTGAGGATTTTGAAGATGGAGTTTTTTTTTTATGTCGAGTGGTATCTTTTCTATTACTTTACGTAGTTAGGCCTGGGTAATGAAATGGTTTTCCCTTGAAAATTCTACCAGTTAAATTGAGAGTTTTCCGTCCGGGGAAAATGGCGCTGTTCTGTCGAGTTCAATGTTCAGCCGAAGCTGCTGCGTTAGCTTTCGGGCGAGCATCTCTTTTAAGAAGTTATGCATTCTCCACCTGCTCGAAATTCGTCTAGGAAATGAACAACTCTAAATCCAAATTCAGTTGTTTGCAGGATTGCACCTCCTCCCGTACTAAAAAGAACCAGAGAAACACTATCTTGAGCGGAACTGTGACATAAAACTCCTTCGAGTGTCTCATAAGCTGTTAAACTCTTTTGGGAGTCTCAGTGGTAACATATATACATGCGATGAGTAATTAACACAAAAATAACCGCTAAGAGAAATGCAGTTAAATGGACAGCGGTATGTTGATTGAATAAATATTTAAATATCATAAGCCTTATTTACATGTTAACTCTCATTATAAAATTTAATGGATATTACTACTTGAACTATTTTGCCTTTAATCATTGACGTAAGTTAAGTCAGTTCGTTATGTCCTATTTTGTATGATTGTCACAGGGATAAAAATCTAAATTACACTTGATGTTCGATCAATCTCTCGATCGTCTGGGCAAAATTTAGATGAATTACGAAGAAAACGAAGTTAAATAAAAAACAAAATCTTTCCAATTTCACTTTTAAACTTATGTCTTAAGTTTCATGTTCTGACAGCGTTTTATCTTAATCAATCAAAGGTGCCATCTCAAGAACGCTAATAGTCTTACATTTTGTAATTTAATATTCGAAAACGATTCCACCTTAGTAGATTATATAGAGGAGGTGACTCATTTCGAATAACGACACAGATCGCCTTAGACTTATTTAATTGATACTATGAGGTCGCGTACTTGTTTATAATTTATTTCTGAGAGTCTGAAGAATGATTTTACCGTCAAATGACAGTTTTACCAAAGTAACGGTATTTCTAAGCACTTCTCGGGCGGACATGATTGTTAGGTAAACACGATGAGCTAAAATTTACAGACATACGCCCAAGAGAAACAACCTAACATTCGAGGGATGAGTTATTTTGTCAAAAGGTTTTGTTGTAATAAGTATAAACCTATAAGACGAAGGCGGGAAAGTATCATGTCGCAATGTGCAATGATTGCTGTGGTGTAGGTGTTTGCTTTTCTGTATCTCATGTAGTTTAATCGAAGTCAGTCTTTGAAAAAATATTCAATATTTATACGAACGCCGATACTAGACCTTGTATCAATGGAAAAACTCACTGTATGATTTTTAACACTAATATTCACCCAATACAAGGCCCAAGGTGCGCTCAAAGTAGAGGGTTACTGTGTGGAGTTGTTTTAGAGTAGGAAAAGACAAGCTGTAGGATTATAGAACAGAAATAGACATTTACGATGATCCGGAAGCCGAACTGTACACAGGAAACAAAGGGTAAAAACCTTCTCCTGTGCAAAAGTCTGGGGAGGTGTGTGAACCGGACGATAGACACGCCTATCTACGCCTATTCGTGGAGGAGAGAAAAAATGAATTAAATAGTGAATAAAATTTTAGAGATCAGTTACAGATATTAGGAGTACAGAACTGAAGCCGATTAGTAGGAATCGAAAACCCAATCCTAAACAAGAGACTAGATATAAAAGTCTATTCCTGTTCAAAAGATCTGGGAGTAGTGTAATCCAGAAGATCGGCGAGCCTATCTACTTCCCAGGAGAACTTGGGCAATATCTCTGCCCCCAAACATCTGATCCCAACTTTCGGCTTTGTGTCACATCTAACCTATGCTTAATATATTCATACTACATTGTGGGAAGATACAAAATTTAGAGAAGCAGATAAAATAAAAATTTCAGGCGACATTACTTGTGTAACTGGTAGCAGGAAACCCAGTAATATGTACTGGATGATTGGGTTAACGGAAAATTAAACGTTTACTTATTTGGCACATGATGGATAAGGTTTATCATTTCTCAATTACATCTCTGTCTTCGGGCAGAATGCGACTCAGTTGTGAATCTCTGCAGACAAAGGCCCAACTGAGGAAAATAAATACTGTGAGATGCCCCGTCCCGGGGAACAGCTTTCCTATCGGTGTCAGCGCAACTAACGGTCGCGGTGTCTGGACAATTTTTCTCCTTGGCCCGCGTGTAAGCGCTAAGGTTCCCCACGTTAAACCCGACCTTGTTGAACATCTTGTCTTAGTGACGGGACGAGAGAAAATGATACTTAACCCTTTTTATTCTAGTGAGGAAAGTGGTTTAAAAAGTGTTAAAACTAGATTTGTCAAATTGAGGATAAAACATTTTGTATGGCAAACGGCCATCTATCAAAGTGAGTTTAAATCGGCTAATATATGCAAACCTTGCTGGGTTGACATGACGATGTTGAGTTGAATGTTTGCTAGACGGAATTCATAGGCCAGGGTACAGATTTTCTCCGTGGGAATCAGCTAGTCGGGGGATATCGACTGTCTTTTGATCTAGAAAGGGTTGTACTCAACACTGTCAAAAATCACTTTTGAATGTATATCTCATGTTTTCAACACATTTATGTGGAGTGAGCAGCCACA